TATTCTAACCAACATCTAAGTGCAAGATAAGTTTGTGAGTACGTATGCCTTTGACAGGGTCACACCACCAGCCTCGTCCGAAAGATCCAGGGGATCTAAAGGGTGTCACCCAAGATGAATTTTAAAAAGGGTTGGCCTTATATACACTCTAGTTTGCTCTATGCGTAACTTTAAAATTATGATGAATGTAACAAGTAGAAGAATATATATTTTTTTAGTTTTAAAATAAGGGTTATTAAATGTGATCCCGTAACATATAAAGTGACACGAGTTAGATTTCTTAGATACTTAGCACAATCATACTTATGTCAATCTCGATGATTTAACTCGCATCGCTCGTCGAAATAGACCTGGCAAGCAATACTCGTTAAGGCATTGTGACCAAAATAGGGTCACTCACCTATCAAGCTTGACTCACTATCGTGAAGGTAGTGATCTAAAAGGTGTGCATTTCATGGAGGCAGCAGTCCAAAGAAACGGGTATGCCATGTAAAAAAGGAGTATGTCGTGGAGGTAATGGTCCAAAGAGGGTTGGTGTGTCGTGGTGGCAGCGACCCGATGGATGGGTGTGTCGTGGAGACAATGATCCGAACGGCCCGTAGGATGGGGGTGTCATAAAGGAAATGATCCGAAAGGGTGGGTCTGTCATGGAGGTAGCAGCCCAACGGATGGGCGTGTCATGGAGGCAATGACCTGAAAGGGGTGGGCATGTCGTGGAGGCAACGACTCGAAGGATGAGTGTATCATGGAGGTAGCGACCTGAAGGATGGGTGTGTCGTATAGACAGTGACCCAAAAAGGGTGATGATCATTGAGGAGAACCATTCAAGTGAGGCGAGTGTATGAATGGGCACACAAACTGCAACACAATAATGTGATGAAGATTATGCAATACATATAGTAGAAGACGTATCATGCTCGATCGCCAAAGGTATAGGACGCCACTGGGGAGAATTACACCTTGCTCCAATAATGACCAAACACGCATGAAAATGGAAAGCACATACAAGGTATAATGCATTATGCAAGCAAGCAAGCAGACTCATGCACATGTCAACATACACTATGCAAGTGATCGGTTGACCGAGCCAGGGAAGCTGAAAGGACCAAAGTGGTCGGTCGAGGCAGAAGTGATGTTGACCAAACTGGGAGGGTTGGTCGAGACAAAAGTGATACCGATCAAGTCGGGGTGGCCGTCGAGGCAGAAATGACATTGACTGGGCCAAGGCAGCCTATCGGACCATAAATGACGTCGACTAGATCGGGGCGACCGGTCGAAGCAAACGTTATGCCGACTAGGCTGGTGTGATTGGTTAAGGTAGAAGTGATGTTGATAGAGTCGAGGTGGCCGATTCAGGCATTAGTAATGTCGACCAATTCAGGGTGGCCGGTCGAGGCAGAACGTGATGTCAACCAGGTTGGGACGGCTGGTCGAGATAGAAAGTGAGATGCATGAAGTGCAACATGATGTAGTGCAAGTGATCACAAAAAATAGTAAGTCATACTCATGCTAACGATCTCACATAGACGTCTAAGATTCAACATTTGTATTTGTGGCATATCTGTCTCCTGCTTTAGCGAGGTGTGTGGGGAGTTTTGCCTTCGGGTTTCCAAAAGGGAAACTCTCAACAATATTGTGGAAATGGCTAGCTAAAAAATTTTTCCCATTTCTCAACTCCTAATGTTTTTGTAAGATGAGCTAGCTACAAAGCTTTTCTCTCATTATAAAATTCAAACAACCCAACCCCTCCAAGAAATGTTGGGGAAAGCTAAAGCAAGGGTAAATTGGGATTCCAACCCACTAGGATTTAGGTTTAGGGTTTACAAAAGGTGATCTTTTGGCTCTGCACAGAATTTGACCATGCATGGGATTCCTACCCTAGGGTTTCCTCTAGGAAATCAAGGACCAATCCAAAGGAGTGTAGCTGCGCTGACTAGTGTCGGCTGGCCAACTCACCTTGTGTGGGCGATCAGATCGACAATGCCTATCCTAAATTATTCATAGGGCTAGATAAGAAGAAAAAATAAGAAGCGTTCCAGAAGGTTACACCATCACGGTGGTTGCTTGATGTTTGTCGAAGTCAGACAAAAAGCTCTCCTAAAACGGAGGGAGGTTATGCTGTGATGCCATTGCCGCCTGCCGATGGTTAAGAGTTCTGATGAAGCTTCTGACAAATTCGTCGATGGATCAGGTCGTCGGTCCTAAGGGAAGAGGAAACAAGGTAGCTGACGCCCCGGGTTGCAGGTGGGGAGGACCTTTAGGCTACCTCTCAGGTCAAAAAAAGGCAGCAAGGCACTATCGCAGGCAAGAAGCATGGTGAGGGGAGCTTGGACTAAAAGGAAAGGAGCGGCGTGCCCTAGGCTTCTCGTGCGAGGGAGATCCCGAAGGCCTCGGTTCTGACATGAAAGGAGATCTAGGTGAGGGCAATTAGCCCGCAGGAGAAGCTTCTTCGGTGGGAGAAAGTTGCAAGAAAGCTCGGGATCGGGTTTTCGGGCCAAACTTGCGAAGGCGAAGGAGAGACCCGCTGCTCGCGTGAAAGCCCTTAAATAGGAGCCCTAATACGGAGGGGAATTTGGATACTTTGTAAGCAAACAGAGTTCGCCAATGACAAAGAGTATGGTGCACCCAATGGTGGTCAACGACGGATAGCGAGAGCTAGTCGATTGTAGTTGACGACTATAGAGACTGAAATTTATCTTGGGGACTTCGATTCGGAACAACACTAGACCTTGACTTCTCCCCCTTAAGTAAAGAGAAAAGGTGTATTTATAAGTTTCAGGGGAGGAACATTTTGGTCATTTGACGAGTAACTTTCTCAACCATCTGATTGGACGACTCATATCAATCTTTATTGATCATATGAGGGTTTTTTAATAATTCGATGGACTTCATTACTCAGAATTAAGAGAGCTTAGGCTCATGAGATTATTCTTCTCGAGACACTCAATTTGAAAATAGATATGTTTAATTTAGAGTTTGTTTGCCCAATCAATCAATGATATGAAGCTTCCAAATGGACTTTAATAGCTTGATTTAGATTTAACTAGACTCAAACTAAACCAAATTTGATATTACCGATTAAAATGGAATCTCTAGATAATTTTTATTTTGAATTCAAATATTTATTATTTTAAAAAATGTCTCTAAAATTTGTGCTAATTTGGCAAATTATAAAATTTTATTGATGACAGACCTGCACAAACAATACACTAGCGATCGCAATATCTAGAATGTAATCCTAAAAGGCGATATTAAATGTGATTTTTTTTAATAAAAAAAATGAGGGACATGATTTTAAAAAAAATTATTGAATTCATTTGAGGAACGATAACTTTATCTATCAACAATAAATAAAAGGAGATGGGTGCCCTTGATTCTTCAATTTTTTCAAATATGTCATATTATTTATGCATGCAATTTGATATTTGTTTTTTAAAAAAAATTAAAATTAATATACTTTAATGTCAAAGAGCGCATATTCTGTCAGAACTCTTAACGTAGAGAACTATTCAGAGTACAATGAAATCATGTCACGTGACAGTCATAAAAAAAAATAAAAATTAGTCCGATAACACAAGAATATTCTCCCCATATTATTTCGTATTATTCAGGTGTTATTATATGTTATTCAGATATTATTAATGTCATGAAAATATTTCTGGTGTTATAATACCAAAATAACACATCAATAACACATGAATAATACAGGAGAAATATTCTCTTGTGTTACCGGACAGATTTTATTTTTTTATCACCGTCATGTGGTGAAAATTTATTGGACTCCAAATAGTTCTCTACGTTAAAAGTTCTAATAAAATAATTTTTCGACCTAAAAAAATCTGAGATATAAATATAATTGTTAAGTCATTTGGATAATATTCAAGAGATTTGCACTAAAATTTAAATAAAATAATTATGATTTCTAAACTGGCACAATGCGCTCATTTAATACTGTTGCCAGAATCCACCGACACTTTCCTCCCTCGCCACCGAACTGCAAATACTGTAATCAACAATTAACAAACTGACACGTGCAAGTTAACCCTCCCAGCTTTTACACAGATATAACAAAATACCCCTGTCGGTTTCGCCTGCGACATTACCGGCAAAATCCAAGTCATTTACATATTAGCTTCCATCTCACGTTCAAAAAATAATTAAAAAATAAAATAAAGACTTTTACACATACATCACAAAATTTTATATATCAAATACTTTATTTTAATATTTATATTTTTATAACACTCAAGTCTTTAACATCATTTAAAAAAAAACTCAAATATTTAACTTCTTAAAAATGAAAACTATCTTTTTATGCTTTATAAATAGAAATTTCAAATTTTAGACCGGAGATCTTCTTAAAACAAAAGTATATAAAACTATTTTATTGAAAGCACATTACTTTTGCGGAAAAAATTTGCGTACATAAGACAACACGTTGCATAGGTTATATGAGTGTTATATCAACATTATATTCGCGTTATTTTTCTTATAATCATTATGTAATATCTTTATAATCCACCTGTAACGTATCCGAACTTAGAAATAAGTTTCGCAATTTTGTTTTTCACATATTTGTAGGTTGCATGTATGTTACATATAGGTTACATGAAAATTATATGAAGGTTACAAGAGATATAACGCGAATATAATGTCGATATAACGCTCATATAACCACCATTATGTACACAGCGCTGCATACATCTTACATACGCAATTTTTTTCCTAAGTTTGCATGATAAAGTTATGAAGGAAGGAGAGTTCTCATTCTTTGAAATATATAAAGGAAAAAATAATAATAAGTTTTTATTATTAATACTTACAGAAGAATCTCTTTCAAATCAAATTTTTACGCGCTTAAAGTTTTCACACGAAAAATGCTATTTTTAGTTTATTTTATTTAAAATTTTAATTTTTTCTTTAAGAAGAAATACATAAATCGCCTAAAATAAAAAAAATATATTTTGCCTAAGGCGATTTCAATAAAAAAAGTGATCAATTTGTAAATATCAATAATTCGGGTGGCTTGTATGTAATTACCAAAAAAAACACTAACAACTCATCCTACAAAGAGCTACGGCGCCACGGCGGTTGCAGCGGCGGCGGCGGCGGTACCGGCGGCAGCTGTGCGATTGAAGCAAAAATCGTCCTTTCGAGCAGCATCCCTTCCGCGGACAACGAAATGCGCCACCTGACCCTCAACGCCGACAAGATTCTCCCTACAAAGAAACTCCTCGCTGCAAACTCTCTCCACCTCCCGCTCAAAATCATGTACCAAAACATCAGTCGGCTCATCTCCGCCGGAGCGCGCCAAGACGGCCGCCGTGTAGATCGTCGACATCCGGCCGGGACTCTCCGGCGAGTACCCTCTGGGTCCATCCACAACAATCACGTCCCACGCAACCTCATAAACATGGTTAGGGAGATCGTTGATGGCGAGCCGGCAGTCGGAAAAAAGCAAGTTTTGAACAGGCCGGCAGTCGCCGCTTATTTTAGCCCTCGCCTCTGCTATCAGTTCCTTGAGCTCGCGGACTTTGGTGGTGTAGACGACGTCGTAGCCCTCGAGACCAGGATGGCGCTCTTCGTAGTGGGAGATGTAGTACTGGTTCTCGTCGACGAAGACAGTCCTGCCACCGTGGTTGAGGGCGCGCCAGAGCAAGCTTTCGGGGCCGAGGCCGAAGACGAGGAGATTGCAGGGTGCGCGGCGGCGGAGCGCGCGGGCTATGGAGCGGAGATCGATGTCGGGCATTAGGCCGCTGGAGGTGGACTGAGCGGCGTAGTGGATGAGGGTGTCGAAGAGGTATGGGTCGGGTTTGGGGGAAGGGAGTGCGGCGGAGGGGTGGGGGAGAGGAGAGGGAAGGGAGGTGGAGGAGGAAAGAAGGGTTAGGAGGAAGGCGAAGGTGAAGAAGGAGATCAAGGCGAGGATGCATAGATGGTGGGGGGAGGAGATGAGGGAGGAGGGAGTGGTGCTGTGTTTGGGAAGGGATTGAGGTAGGAGGATGAGCTTTGTGCTGGTGAAGGACTTCATGATTGAGGTGGGGGAGGAGGAAGATGGAGGAAACAGGGGATTACAGGGGCGGAGATTGAGGGGTTATTGGGTTATTGTGCATTTATGGTTAGGTTAATAATGAGTGATGGATTTTCATTTCATTTAATCCAGTACGTTTTTTTGCTGTTTTTAAATGTAGATGATCACATCAAATCTAAATTTTATTTTATTTTATTTTATTTTATTTTTGAGACTATCATTCCGAAAGTTCTTATATTTTTTTTTTAGCAGTCCAATAATATATTGATATTTTTACATATATCATCCGAAATTATAACTTTTACGTATTTAACACATCAAATTTTAACATAATGAGGTTACTGATAGTTACCACCTAAAACATATTAATGTAATAGATATATCATCCCGTAAGCCTTTCATAGAGTACTCAACTAATTAATGTCGTCGCCGGCCAAGTATCATTCGTGTTTCTTTTACTCTCCTGACTTCGCAAGGGTAGAGGATAACAAATTTTAGAGATAGTCAGGTGTCGCTCACAGCGAGAATTATCAGCCAATTGGTTATATGTTTCAATTGTAGATGGGTGGAGTGATTGAAGTTAGTATAGCTAGGCTAATGACAGTTTATGCACAAATCCTAGCAGACCCTTCCCCTCTCCATTGATTTCTTCTGAAACCAACACATTTGTGACTAAATGTTGGCAATGCATTGGAGTTTAGAGCTAGTTGGGAGGGTAACGATAGGATTGTGGCATATAGAGACCTGTGAAATTTCCATCTTTCTTCTCGTTCTGGTTGCTCCTATCATAAAACTCTGTGGGTTCGGTATATGTTAGAAAGACAAGAGGAGGAAGCATTGAATATGCGAGAAGGAGATACCTGAGTGATGACAGGGCATTCACATGGTGAGTCTTCCATCTTTCTTCTCTTTCTGGTTGCTCCTTTCATAAAAATTTGTGGGTTCGTTGTATGTTAGAAAGACAAGAGGAAGCATTGAACATGCGAGAAGGGGATACCTGAGTGATGACAGGGCATTCACATGGTGAGTACTCGTGGCTATAAAGGGTTGATTAGGTGTTATATCTGTTGTGCTAATATGTTTTGGTTGGCATGTCCTTTATATTAAACTTTGGGGTGTTCATAAGTAAATTTCATTGTTTTGGGTGGTATGGATGTAAATCTCCTTAAAAAAATGCTATATGTGTAGATGAATGGTTAAAGAGAAGCAAGTATTGAAAACAGAAGTAAATTTATATTTGTCTATAGGATAAAGCTCAGGTGATTCAAAAAGTAAAATAGAATGCGTCATTTGATTAAGAGCTAGCCAGAGGAAGGGTTCAACTTACTAGATCATCGCTTAGAGCTCACAAAAATATACTAAAAGGAAAGCTTAGAAAAGAGTTTTAGCGGATTTGTTGTCATCATAAGTATAACAGAATCACACAACATAATGAAAATTGTAAAGCTCGCAATATTAAACAAGATAATATTGGTGTGTGTCAAAAGGTTCACGGTGGTACAGTAACAAATTATAGTTTTAGCGTTGCACTAAAACCCAATATACACTCAGATAATTAAAGAAAAGTAAACAATAAGAGTCGTCTTAATTTTTATGTGGAAAACCCTGAAAAGGGTAAGAAAATCATGGGTTCTGATATAGTTGAAATAATCCACTATGAATGGTGAGTACACTTATTCGCTCTTCCCATAAATTAAAGATGATAAAGTAAAGTTGATCATTGTAAATGTATAACAGTAGTCCATTGATAATAGACATAGTTTGACTGTAATGAATGCAGTTATTGAAGATAGCAAACTGCAAGGGACATATCAATTGCTATGCAGGTGGTAGTCTGTCGAGAATGTTGTAGATGGTTGTAGCACCAAATTATCATATAAATCATTATTGAAAGCTATGGTAGCAAATGTTTGTATCAGGAACTTTGGATGAATAGGGAAACTGTAGTAGGAAGCTATAGAAACTGAGAGTCACGTGGGTCTAAGCACGTCACATAAGATGTAGTGATGAGATTTTAACACATAAGTTGTACATAGTCACGTGGGCCATAACAGTTAGTTGTGATGACGTCCGTAAGCTATAGGGGGCAGATTTAGGGGTTAAATGAGTTGTGGCATGATAAAGTTTTTAAAGTTGATCATTGTAAATGCATAACAGCAGTCCATTGATAATAGACATAGTTTGACTGTAATGAATGCAGTTATTGAAGATAGCAAACTGCAAGGGACATATCAATTGCTATGCAGGTGGTAGTCTGTCGAGAATGTTGTAGATGGTTGTAGCACCAAATTATCATATAAATCATTATTGAAAGCTATGGTAGCAAATGTTTGTATCAGGAACTTTGGATGAATAGGGAAACTGTAGTAGGAAGCTATAGAAACTGAGAGTCACGTGGGTCTAAGCACGTCATAGGTCACATAGGATGTAGTGATGAGATTTTAACACGTAAGTTGTAGATAATCACGTGGGCCATAACAATTAGTTTTGATGACGTCCGTAAGTTATAGGGGGCAGATTTAGGGGTTAAATGAGTTGTGGACCACTTAGATCGTAGTTGGTTTCGTAGGTCATAGTGGCGAGTTGTGGTTAAGTTTGTAGGCTACAGGGGTTGGAGTCGGGAGCTGCACAAATTGTGAGCCATGTAGGTCATAATTGATCACTTAGGTCATAGTGGCGAGTTATAGAGAGAGTGCTTTAGAAGTCTGGAGAAAGTCACCATCTTCGGGCTGCATTTTTGCACCATTTTTTAGAGGTGTCGTTACATCATATGTGGGGTACATTGTTATACCGTCATAGGGGTGTGTTGTTGCACTGAATTTGAGGTACATTGTTATACCATCTTTGGAAGACACCATCACACCGTTTGTGAGTTGTATTGTTACATCATATTTAAGGTGTGGTAATTACATTGTATTTTGGTGCATTGTTACACTATCTTTGGGAGGCATCATTGCACCATATGTAGGATAGGTTGTTAAAACAGTCATTATGGCGTATCATTGCATGGTATTTAGGGTGTATTGTTACATCATCTTCAGGAGACATCGTTGCATCGTATGAGTAACCTCCTTAAATGAATGGCCTTGGATGATACAGATCTCAAAGGAGTGTCAATTATGGCAGATATTGTATGGGCTTGAAAGTAAGGGTGTCACTTCCTTACCAAATTGTTCATTGCTAGTGCAAGTTCTTCATTATCATTTATCTTTGTTCAGCTCCCTAGAGTACATTATTCACATGGTAGATTATATTTTTTTTCTTATGCTCCTCGCGAATGAGTACAAGCTGATATATATTTTTTTATGTTCATAGGTAGATGAATAAATCTTCTCATATATTAGGGCTTTTGTAATAAAGGAGGTGATGATAATAGATCTTTTAGTTGTGTAAATGTTTGAAGAGCTTCTTTAGCCTTCAATTTGGTAAGGTGTCACTTCCTTACCAAATTGTTCACAAAATAACTAGAATTTGTCATAGATTTACAAAATGAAGAACATTGGTCTCCAAACTTTAATGTAAATTTGTTGAGTACAACTATCCAAACGAGCATGATTTCCATTCCCTTAAGATTCTTTGAAGGCAACATGTTTATTATGGCTTGATCCTTCTCAAGATTTGATTTGATTTGATTTTTTTGGGTGTGAGTAGGTATGAGAGAAGTTTTTATGAACTAGCTTTGAAGGTACACTTCAGAGGGTTGAGTTTTAGATTGAACTTATTTGAAGTTGTGAATGTTTTTTTTCAAATCTTGTATATGTTTGTCTTGTGATTTATTTTTTATTAGAAGTTATCAATATATATTTCATACATTTTTTTTCTTTGATTCATAAAAATTATATTCATCTTCCTTTGATAGACTGCACAATTATTTTGTAGGCTAGAAGACATTACATTATAACAAAATATTCCTTTTTTAGTATCCTATACTTATTATTAGTTTTTCATACCAGCATGACATTAGCAAGCTATTCAAAGTACTACACCTCTCAAATAAAATTGGCATCTAGCAGTTGCATAATTTATCACCAAATAGACTAGGTTATGGAGTTCATCATAGTTTGCTTCTTCTACTTGGTGAGCTTAGCTTCTAATCTCATGCACAGTCAATGGAGGGTGTTGTCCATGCCAACTCTAAACATTTCATTAGTCTTGCATGTGAATACAATGTGATGACTTCTCGATGTGGTGATTAATTGGTCCCCATGATTGTTGTTGAAATTAGAGCTAATCTGGAAGGCTCTACATCCTTCTTCTTTAATAATAAGTAGTAGTTATGGAACCTCCGTGGATTCAAGAACACTGACTTTATTGTTATCGAGATAAAGTTGGACTTCTTGTAAATTCAGTGTATTTAGCACAGCTCATACATGCGTTCGTTATTTTGAAAACACCGCCCATGAGTTTATTTCATTTATTTGTGATACGGGTAGAGAACGACGGTCCAAATGTTATACCATACTTGGGTTGCAAGATCGGCCCCGCAACCTACGCTTTCCTTCTGCGTTTAGGGAAACCTTGCCCTTGTCCCTCGCTCGAGTGTAGTTCCCCTCAGCCTTTTCTCCCTTGCCCCTCTCCCTCGCTTCTCCTTCGGTTGCTCATATTGATTTGTTGGTATCTTCTCTAAAATTTTCTTATTTTTCATTGCACTGGTTTTCCCTTTGTGAATTCTGATCTCATGATTATCTTTGTAAATTTTTTTGAGATACCATATGTTTTTTGGTAGATCAAGCTTGGTTAATCTTTGAATCTGGTTAGGGGATGTTGAAAAGTTTATTTTCTGTTTTTTGTTTTTGTTTCGAATCCCTTTAGATGATGGCGGGGAGCTTCTTGATGGTGTGTCTGGAAATTAGATTTATATTGGTAGAAGATGGAGCTTTGCTTAATAAAGCTCTTGAGTAGAAGTAAATGTTGCCTCCATTTGATGTTTATCTTTTAACATGCTTTATGGAGTTAAAATTGTGAATGGATTTATTAATCTTTGAAGCGCGATGGGGATGCAAGAGAAGAACATCTTCAAGAGAGCGAATAAGATATTCATCAGCTAAATTATTTCTTAGAATTAAACAACAAATTTATAGGACTTCGAGGTAGACTGCCTAGT